TGGAGTGTCAAAAGCATGCTACGATATTTCAAGGTTGTTGCCTTCCGCGTGCTTCCCCAGATGCACTGAGTAAATAAGCTCCTTTTCCGGCTCCTTTTAATGAAAATAGTCCAATAAGCGCTTCATCCTATGTGCAAGTGAATTCTAAATGCAGACTTCGGGCATTGTTAGCTTTTAAAGATTAGTCATGGTTCAATACATGTCCAGTTACCAGAATACATCACTGTTACCCCGCGATCGATCCCAGCTGAACTTGCTGGCTACATTTTCAATATGTAGATGTTTATGAAACTACACCATGTGACTACTAAATACACCCACCCGAGTTTTTTCATCAGTTTTGGAAGAAAAAAATCTGTTATATTTTTCAAGAGCAAACATAACCCACCATTTATGTCCTACTTCACGAGCAGCTTGTAGTCGGCACTTCACTAATTCTGTAGGACACAGTACAAGGGCAGCAGCTATAGAGGCCAGTCCACCAGCAGATGCGTTCTCTAGTGGGGTCATCGTTTTCACGTTACGATGACCGGATATTATACTAACAATCTGAACTTGCATTTTTAGAAAAAGTTACTTTAAAAATCATTTTAAGCGGTAAATCCTACCTTTTGGCAGTAACCATACGCACAAAATAGCACTGCATTTTCAGCTATATTTGCTGCCAGTGCAGGTACCGTTCCTGCGTAGAGACCTCGAATCCCGTCTAACCGATATGTATCTTTCAAACATACCACCCAATTTTTGTAGAGATTTGGAAATGTTTGCACTTTTACTTTGACGGTATCCAATGGTTGACCAGCGTAAACATTCGCTATTCCACCTAAAACAATCATTAATTCAGGCAAACTGCAACTACAGACATTCTTATCAGAAAGCATCTGTTGACGTCTGAATAGAAACTTTTCCTCAAGGGAAAAAGTAAAGAATCAAGCCGCAAGATTTATCAGGAACCTCTTGTACCGCCGATGTGATCAATTGACGTCAACTGTTAAGTTTTTGTGCAATGCAGAAGGCGCAACACTCAAAATTCAAGCGCCCCAGAATCAATCAAATTCGACTGAATCTTCAGATTTGATTTCGCACTAGATGTAGTTTTCGTAAAACACAAGGTATATTGCCCATTTAGTCAAGCGCAAAATTTTACTCACGGCTCTCCCAGAGCGCAAACAGCTTACTCTAAGCTTAGCGATAGCTTAATTTCATTACAAATGGACCTATCAATCCCTCAAATTGAACCAAGGATATCAATCATTTGTTGATCTAAAATTCACTGTTTTGCCCAATAAAGATCTTTCATCCCTTTTACTGCACTGAAGATTATGAG